TCTCCAAAGCCCGAGAGGCTGCTTTGCCAGTGACAGCCTGGAAGTGCAAGAAACTGAGAGCAGACCTCAATGATGACTGACAGAAGATGATGTATAAATACTTGAAATCCTTCATCCGTCAAATGGGACAATTCTGAGGCTTTCACTTTTACACTCTCTCTCAGAGCTTTCCCTCAGGTGAAAGCTCTGTCACACACAACAATGGCTGACCTATTTATCTACCCTTTCCAGCTTCCTTATCATTCTGGTATTGCCTTCTCACTTCTGTCCTGTTGTTCCCCAGATCTCCCAAATAAATGACTTCTTTTTGAATCCTTATTGTAGCATCTGCTTCTAGAAAAACTCAAACTGTGACACTCTATGTGACTTCTTAGCTATTAATACACATTATCAATCCCCAGGAGAGGAAGAGCATACATGGCAGTTCCTAGACATGTTGACATTGAGTCCACCTTCAAATGGCCTTCCTGTCACATCTATCCTGAGCAGCGCTCCATAAAACCAATGAGGGAAATGCTAGTATGAATCATAAAAAATGGGCTCCAAGCTCATAACCCTCAAAAGGAATCTGAAAGTCACTATAAACTAGAGTTTAGTGCTCGCTTCGGCAGCACATATACTAAAACTAGAGTTTAAAGGCATCAGTCCAATGGGCGGTTGAGGCTTTTGGTCTTATCTTGATAGTGGAAGTTCTCTGAAATCACAATGGAATCTAAGAGAAATTTCTGCCTGCCTTATTCCAAGCCAAAATGCATTCATGGTAGAAACTCTGTATGAAGTCCTGCAGAAAAATGGTGTCGTGGTATTAAGGGAGTCCAAAGAAGGTCAGACAAGAGGACAGAGGGAGCAGGAGGCTTGTCACTAGAGGGTAGATGAAAAGTTAGGATTTTTCAGGGAGGAGGGGGGTAAAGACAAAAGTGATAAGGTAGGCATATACCACGAATAAATAGCACACATGGGATAAATGTCTTTCCCCTTGTCATTTCAGGATAGCAGGTGTAAAGTGTACCTCTTAGTATCTCAGAGAAATAAGTTGAAGATAAAATGAGCAATTACTATTATATTCAACTTATACGGTTTACACAATTATGGAATCTTCCTCCTACTTCCTACCTCAAGAGTTAAAAGCTGAATATAAAAATAGAGTCTAAGAAAGGTTAGGTAAATTTCTGGTCACCAGAATCAATACAGAAGCAGCATTGCATAGTGTAAACCTTGCAGTCAAACAGGCCAGGTTTGAACAGCAGCCCAGCTGAGCGACCAGGGACATTGCCACGTCTATCTGCACATCAGGTTTCTCATCTATAAAATGGAAAGTACCTGCCTTAGAGAGTTGTTGCAAGGAAGAAAACTAATGGATATTACAAACCCAGGATAGCGGCTCAGTAGGCACTAGTTCAGTACGAACTATGATTACAGTCTGTAATAATTTAGTTAAGCATCTAGTATGTCTTGTCACCTTATTTCCATAATCTGCTATGGCCAGCTTCAGGGAAAATAGTTAACCCCCCTACCCATGGGTACTTAGCATCACTGTTAAAGATGAGCCCCATGTTGGAGGGGCCCAGGCAGAGAGGGGCCACCGGGACTCGGAGTCCATTCTGCTCCCTGCACATAGCTCACACAGTGGCCTGCCTCACCCCACCTGGCCTTCGCCAGATTCACCATTGCTTTTCTTCAACTGTAGCCATTAAACTGCATTAAATCTTCCATCAATGCACAGAAATGATTCCAGATTTAGGGACATTTCTATAGATGTTCCTATCTCCCAATCACGTTTCCCCTTCCCACAAAGACAATTCTCTTGACCCGATTCTCCTTCCAGCTACCTCCCAACTTCCCCCACTCTTCTAAGTGGAAATCCTTGCAAGACTCATTAAGATCACTGTCTCTAAAAACCTTCTTCCATCCTTTGTTCACCCCACGGTCATCGGGCCTGCCCCTCGAAGCTCTGGCCAGACTGACCTCTGCATCGCCACATCAATGTTCATTTGTCAGTTCTGGTTTTTCCTAACCCTTTTGCTGTGTTTGACTGTGATGGTCCTTCTCCTCCTTGCAATTCTGTATTGTCGTCGTGTCAGGACTCTGCACCCTCTGGTCCTCCTCCACTGCCCTACTTCTCAGTCCCAGGCGCTCCCAGCCTTGTTGAGTGCTCAGGATCAGTTGTGGCCCTCAGTTCTCCCACATCTGTCTCATCCTTCAGTGAACTCATCCATGGCTTTAAATACCACCTGTGAGCTACCAACTCTCACATTTATCTCTGCAGTAGGGACTTCTAACCTGAAAATAATCAATACCCCCTCTCTGGTCCCACCAAAGCACTGCTTCCTTTTGTTAGAGGGTCAGTTCCCTCCTTTGGATCAAGTATGGACATTGACAACAGTCCCAAATAGATGCATCTGTAACCAACTTATTACTTTTGGAATGTCTTTTTTCCCGATGTTATGTTCCATTTTCATGTGTTCCACGATCCCTGGACCTTTCTCAGGCTGTCCCAGCTCAGGATCCTCATTAATAACTTGGTTGGTCAATACTTCACCTACATCCCATTATATAGTTATATTAAGAACATTTCAATCACTTCAAATAATAGGAGATATAACACAAGAACACAATAACTGTTTTTTAACTGGTGAGGCACAGTTCAGAAAGTACACATTTTAAAGACCATCTTATCATGTCATATAATCCAAGATTTGTTATAGAAATACTGTTCTGGCAGCAGTGGGGATGAACAGGAAGCTGGTTGGGGACCTAGAGGGGAGTCTTATCAAGCAATAATGAGGCCTAAAGTAGGACAGCATCTACTGAGATAGAGTAGGTGCCAGATTTTTTAAAGTCTGCACTTACAAGGTCAAAAGGATAAGAGTGAAATAAAAAATGAACTTGGGTAAATGGAATCATGGAATAAAATTGGGAGTATAACATGAAAAGTAGCAGATAGGGGCATAATTAATAGATCCTTGCAATCCTATGTTCCTTCTGCTTAAGAAGACAGTAACTTTCTTTCTAGCTCAAAGGGAAAAGGAATAATAATAATAATAATAATAATAATAATAATAAACACAGACCCCCCCAGAACTGATCACCTCTATTCCTGCCTTCCCCTGGCTGGATGGGGATTTTCCTGACCATATAGGAAAATGTTCAGAACTCAGTCAGGACAGTGCTGTGACACACAGACAAGGCCTCATGAGCCCAGGCCATACCTGTGCAGGTTTGGGCCAATCCAACAGGCATGACACTTTTATTTTATTATTTTTTTTAAAGACTTTATTTATTTATTTGACAGAGACAGAGATCACAAGTAGGCAGAGAGGCAGGCAGAGAGAGGGAAACAGGCTCCCCACTGAGCAGAGAGCTCGATGCGGGACTCTAACCCAGGACCCTGAGATCATGACCTGAGCCGAAGGCAGCGGCTTAACCCACTGAGCCACCCAGGCACCCGGCATGACACTTTTAAAGGAATAAATGAATGCATCAGAGTTGGCAAGTTGACCTGGTGCCACTACTGAATAGACATGGAAAAGTCCCCTTCAGTAAAGAGATAGGAAATGGCAAAAGGAGGTGTTTAGCTTGACCCTTCAGCCAGAGATCCTACCCGGGATGGCCTACCAAGACTATGACTGAGTCCTGATGGTCAGTTTGGCTCAGAGGTGGGGAATGTGAATGTTTCTCTTCTCATCTATCTCTTCATGCTGCTGTTGCTCAGAACCATTCCTGCCCTTCTGCCTTCAGACTCAAGGCACATCTGCCTTCAGACTCAATGGCCACTCACAATTGAAATGATACTAAACTCAGGGACAGAAAGAAGGTGTTCTCATCATTCATTTATTCCCCTCACATTTTCAGCTTCTATTATGGTGGGCCTAAACCAAATGAGATGGCATCACTGCCCACCGAGGACTTCCAGACTAATAATCATAACTGCACACAACTTAGCACGTACTCCTTGCCAGGTACCATCCCAAGTCCTTTACTTGTATCAACTCATTTAATCCTTCCCATAATTCTATGGGGTAAATGTGCTATTATTATCATCCCTGCGTTAAAGATGGGGAAACCAAGGCACTACGAGGTTAAGGATCTTGTCCAACACTACACAGAGTTAAGTGGCAGATCTGGGATCTCAAACCAGGCAGTCTGGCTTCCAGGGCTATGCTCTTCACCAATGTACTATTCAATGACCTATGGAAATGAACTGTAAACAATGGAGATGGAGCATTTCTGGTATTAGGTATTAGTAGTCCATACATGCTACCGCACAGGGCCAACCTGCAAGGGGAAAGGTCAGGAAAGACTTTTAAGTCCTTGAGCAATATCTTGCCAGATGACGAGGGATTCTCCAGCCAGGTTGCGGGTGTGAGCTCCAGACAGAGGGACCCTTGTGAGCACAGATAGGAGATGGGATGTTGGAAGGAGTTGGCTCAGAGGAGTTGGAATAAAGACTTGGGGGGAAGGTGGAAAAATGGCAAGGCAAGGAAAAAAGCTAGAAAGCTGGCCATGTCCCTGAGGCTTTTTAAGTTATGCAAAAAAATAAGTAAATAAATAAAGATATCTTTCTTCTGGACCATACTCTCTCACTCAGTTCCACTTAGATCAGCATTTGAAGTCACTGGAAAATGAGAAAACCACAGCCCCCATGTGACCAAGGCAATACTGTCTCCTACTTGCTCAGAACTTGTTTTTGTTCCAGGCTTTTTAAGTGTCTCCTGCACTACAATGAGCACACGTGGTTAAACACAGCAGGTTAACTCCCACCAAACTGCTTAATGGGTGACACAGAATGGCTTACATAGTGGCACCCCGTGGGGGACTCTATTTTCAGCTCCAAAGCCAATCAGAAGAGACTCTTCATTGGCAAAAGACAACTACAACCCCATTGCCTTTGCAACCTGTCAGACAAGAGTTATAGAGGAGAGAAAATTTAGGTTTGGAAAGCAAAGTTGCAATATCAAACAAACAAGAGACTGTTCTAGGTAAATAGATGAAAAGTAAAGCAAGGAGCCAGCATTCTCTATAATGTGCTTCTGAGAGAAAATACAAACAAACAAACAAGTAAACAAAATGCATCTGTAGCAACGAATATGATATACAAGATACTGAAGGAAAACCCAAAGCAAGTACCACCGCAAAGGCAGAGTTGTGTGTCCTGACTCTGAAAAACCACACCCCATGTAGATGGGCTTCAGAAAAGAAGTGTGCGGCTTATGGAGGAGAACCTAGGGAACTCGGACACCTCAGGTAAAGTCCAGCCCAAATTGGATACAATTCTCTGACCCTACATACTGGAGAGGGTTTTCATTAGTTTCTAGAAGGAAAACAAAAACAATAACAGAATATTTACATCAGTATGGACTCTTTCATGGCCACTCTTACCCTTTCCTCTCCCTCCCCACTCAGGTTCCATTCCCAGAGTAGGAAACCCAACCCCCACTCCCCATCCCCCATACATGGGAACGGCCGCTCACAAGGGGCATGTCCCTGCTTGAGCAATCACAAGCCCCAGTCCTGCTCATGTGCCTTCCAGAGCTGAGCTGCGGTACTGGGTCCTTGGTTCCTAACACTGTTGCAGACTAGAAGGGAAGGTGCAGACCACGCGGGCATGGGGGCAGCTCAGGACCCCATGAAAACGTTGCCTTTCCCATTCTTCCATCCACACAGGGTCCTGAAGACCTTAAAAATAAAAGGACGAACCCAAGTTCCAGCTTGTTCATCTCTTTTGGGGAGGTGGACACATTCTGTCCTCTAGAAGCTCAGCAATGACTCAGTCTCCAAGGTGCTGAGGTGCTCCCTGACACGTCTCTCTGGGGAAGAACCAATGCACTTGCTTTAATCTCTGATAAAATAGTCTACTATATATATATATATATATATATATATATATATATATATTTACATGTTAGCTGTGTACTAAAACACCTATAGTTCTCTTTCCATGGGATGAGCCCAAATACTTGGTTTTTGAAGTACCAATTTACAGAACTACTTCAGGAACAGATTAAAGAGTTTTTCTGGATTGGATGGTCTCTCATGACAAATTCAGTCACAGTTCTGGTGTCCAGAGCAGATATCAGACAAGCAGCCCCTTTAGTGAATGTTGCCTGACCTAAATTCATTTCTGCTGGATGTGTCCTATCACTCAAATTTATCCAAGCACAGAAAAAGAAAGATGGGCCAATAAGTGAATGAAATATGGATGAGTTATATGGTTCATCTAAGGCAGAGTTGATGTCTAGATACCTACTCTGACTCGAGATATTACTATGGCCTCTGTGTGTGTGTGGGTGTGTGTGTGTGTGTGTGTGTGTGATTTGCCTGAAAGTTTTGGGCTGACCCCCTAGCAAGAACCACCCAACCCCTCACCTCCCAGGAATTGCTTCCTGAAATCTTACAAGGTACAGTGCTGATTGGAGTTTGTGATGATTGGTTCCCTAATATCCAGTGCATCAGCTTTGAAATTAATCCCTTAAGACTCCAGGGTTGAAATGTCACACAAATATTTACCAAAGTATGATGAAGTGAAGATCATTAAGAGATAGTATTCAATTTTGTCACACATGTCCACATTTGGTCTCGTACAAGCTGAGGAGCATCGCAGGACCCTCACACCACTAACTTTCTTCCAAGTGGCAGCCACAGCCATGAATATGCCACTCCAAAATTTAGTTGTCACACCATCAATTTAAAAAACCTATGTAACTCAAAAATGTTAAAAATACAGGCTCTATGTTTTATTCAGATCTTAGAACTCTATATGCTCCTTAAAATCATATGTATGTATTTTTAATTTTTGTAAAGAGGATAGTATATTCCCTAGAAAATAATAAAGAAACTGAAATTTGAGGCAAACCAGAGCCCATTGGAAATACAACTGAGAAAGCATATTACAGGCTCTATTACATATTTATCTTCTGTAAACAGATTCCTCTAAAAGGACCAAGTGCATACATTAGGATTAGGGTGTATTTCCTTTCTTTGTGGAGTGAATATAGTAATGCCAGAAAATGAGAACCATTACCACGCTAGAAGACTCTACTTCAAAACCAAAAATAAAGCCAAAGGATTGCTAATGACATACAGAAGCAGAAGTAAGACATCTTGTCTTATAATGTTTCCCACGTTCTTCTCCATGAATCCTCTGGATATTTTTGAAGGATGCTTCTATATACACATATCAAAACACCATCAAGGGAACCACTCCTGCTCTTTACTTCTCACTTTTAATCAACGCCCCCCCACACACACACACACAGCTGGCTGCCTTGGCAGCAGGGAGACAGATCAAGATGTTACTCAGCTCATATTACTGTCTTGTCCACAGGATCCATCAAGAGGCTGCAGAGACTTGCAGAGAACAGAGTGAATACAGCAGATCTGAAGTTGCACCCATGCCCAGCCTCAGCTAAAGCCCCCGTTCAACAGCAGAAGGTGAGATGTACAAGTAGACTCTGGTCTACACTCAAGTCATCATAGACCCAAACCCCAAAATGGCCTTAGTGAGCAAAGAGCTCAACCCAGACCTGGGCTTTCTTTCCACCCCCACCTTAGGAAACCCCCTTCCACCTTCCTTCTATGTTATTGGAGCTTTGAATTAAACACTGTGGTATGTAAGACACACAGATGGGAGACTTAAAGTGAAGAAAGAACAATTCTGAGCATCCCAAAGAATCATTGCAATATCCCTGACCTCCAAGAAGTGTCCAAATTTCAATAGATTAAAATTAAGGAAATCCTGCTCACTATATTCTTGGAGATTCAAACACAAAACACATTAAAGGTTCTAAGAGAAACTGAAGCCAAGACATGGCATCCACTTTCTTTAACCAGAGACAGAGCTGACTTCACTGACATGTAACCCATACAGTCACACAGACACCATGTTTAAAAGAGCCCGTAGGTATTTTGATGCTCTGTGGTTACCATCTAGAAATTCTTAATTTTTTTTTAATTTTATTTATTTATTTGAGAGAGAGAGAGCATGAGAGAGAGGAAGCATGAGAGGAGAGAGGTCAGCGGGAGAAGCAGATTCCCTGCCAAGCAGGGAGCCCGATGTGGGACTCGATCCCGGGACTCCAGGATCATGACCTGAGCCAAAGGAAGTCACTTAACCAACTGATCCACCCAGGTGCCCATAATTCTTAAACTTTTTAAACAAGGGGCCCCGTGTTTTCACTTTGCACTGACCCCCTGCACGTTACATAGTCAACCCTAACCAGGGTTACTCTTGTATTGGCAACACACCTCTAAATGGCCAGGGAACATAGTTTGTGTACGATGCCAAACCAAAAAGAACTGAAATCAGGGAAACTCTAAGGGATAGACTACCTCTCTTGTGGCTACTGGCCCACAAAATTTTTCTTCCAAATTGTCTGAAGTTTTTCACTTCACTTTGTCAATGGTCTGTATGTTTTTTCCATTGGGAAAAAGAATAGTGAAGGAGGAAATGAAGGGAGAGAAGAATCTTTTTTTTTTTTAATTTTATTTTTTATAAACATATATATTTTTTCCCCAGGGGTACAGGTCTGTGAATCGCAAGGTTTACACACTTCACAGCACTCACCATAGCACATACCCTCCCCAATGTCCATAACCCCACCCCCCTCTCCCTCCCCCCTCCCCCCCTGCAACCCTCAGTTTGTTTTGTGAGATTAAGAGTCACTTATGGTTTATCTCCCTCCCAATCCCATCTTGCTTCATTTACTCTTCTCCTACCCCCTTAATCCCCCATGTTGCATCTACTCTCCCTCATATCAGGGAGATTATATGATAGTTGTCTTTCTCCGATTGACTTATTTCGCTAAGCATGATACCCTCTAGTTCCATCCACGTCGTCGCAAATGGCAAGATTTCATTTCTTTTGATGGCTGCATAGTATTCCATTGTGTATATATACCACATCTTCTTTATCCATTCGTCTGTTGATGGACATCTAGGTTCTTTCCATAGTTTGGCTATTGTAGACATTGCTGCTATAAACATTCGGGTGCACGTGCCCCTTCGGATCACTACGTTTGTATCTTTAGGGTAAATACCCAGCAGTGCAATTGCTGGGTCATAGGGTAGCTCTATTTTCAACATTTTAAGGAACCTCCATGCTGTTTTCCAGAGTGGTTGCACCAGCTTGCATTCCCACCAACAGTGTAGGAGGGTTCCCCTTTCTCCCCATCCTCGCCAGCATCTGTCATTTCCGGCCTTGTTAATTTTAGCCATTCTGACTGGTGTGAGGTGGTATCTCATTGTGGTTTTGATTTGCATTTCCCTGATGCCGAGTGATATGGAGCACTTTTTCATGTGTCTGTTGGCCATCTGGATGTCTTCTTTGCAGAAATGTCTGTTCATGTCTTCTGCCCATTTCTTGATTGGATTATTTGTTCTTTGGGTGTTGAGTTTGCTAAGTTCTTTATAAATTCTAGACACTAGCCCTTTATCTGATATGTCGTTTGCAAATATCTTCTCCCATTCTGTCAGTTGTCTTTTGGTTTTGTGAACTGTTTCCTTTGCTGTGCAAAAGCTTTTGATCTTGATAAAATCCCAATAGTTCATTATTGCCCTTGCTTCCCTTGCCTTTGGCGATGTTCCTAGGAAGATGTTGCTGCGGCTGAGGTCGAAGAGGTTGCTGCCTGTGTTCTTCTCAAGGATTTGGATGGATTCCTTTCTCACATTGAGGTCCTTCATCCATTTTGAGTCTATTTTCATGTGTGGTGTAAGGAAATGATCCAATTTCATTATTCTGCATGTGGCTATCCAATTTTCCCAACACCATTTATTGAAGAGGCTGTCTTTTTTCCATTGGACATTCTTTCCTTCTTTGTCGAAGATTAGTTGACCATAGAGTTGAGGGTGTATTTCTGGGCTCTCTATTCTGTTCCATTGATCTATGTGTCTGTTTTGTGCCAGTACCATGCTGTCTTGATGATGACAGCTTTGTAATAGAGCTTGAAGTCCGGAATTGTGATGCCACCAACTTTGGCTTTATTTTTCAATATTCTTTTGGCCATTCGCGGTCTTTTTGGTTCCATATAAATTTTAGGATTATTTGTTCCATTTCTTTGAAAAAAATGGATGGTACTTTGATAGGAATTGCACTAAATGTGTAGATTGCTTTAGGTAGCATAGACATTTTCACAATATTTATTCTTCCAATCCAGGAGCATGGAACATTTTTCCATTTCTTTGTGTCTTCCTCAATTTCTTTCATGAGTACTTTATAGTTTTCTGTGTATAGATTCTTTGCCTCTTTGGTTAGGTTTATTCCTAGGTATCTTATAGTTTTGGGTGCAATTGTAAATGGGATGGACTCCTTAATTTCTCTTTCTTCTGTCTTGTTGTTGGTGTAGAGAAATGCGACTGATTTCTGTGCATTGATTTTATATCCTGACACTTTACTGAATTCCTGTACAAGTTCTAGCAGTTTTGGAGTGGAGTCTTTTGGGTTTTCCACATATAGTATCATATCATCTGCGAAGAGTGATAGTTTGACTTCTTCTTTGCTGATTTGGATGCCTTTAATTTCTTTTTGTTGTCTGATTGCTGAGGCTAG